CATGGAAATGGGGAACTCAGGCAGGAAGTGGGTAAGATGCTGTCACATAGATGGGATTGCAACTAATGTCACAAAACAAAATGTGTATAAATTGTTGAATGGAAAGCTAATTTTCTCTGTAAACTTTCACCCAAACTACAATAAAATGTAATTTAAAAAAAGGCTATCAGTGTAGTTCAACTAATACATTGCAATATAGAATTCACTTGTCTATGGCATTATGTGGACTGTATAGAAACTGACATAATATCCTGTACTAATCTCTAGCAATTAATTCCTCTCTCTCGACCAATAAGTGACAAATTATCAGCACAAATAGTAAAAGATAGAAAATCTTCACTTTAAACTCCTAACAATAGCAACTATGCTACTACTTAAATTTCTGGATTACAGAATGCCAAAAATCTGGATAGTTAGAACTCCTGAAGATTGATTAATTTAAAGTAATTATTCTCCTTCTTTTGACATAACATCGAAATAGGCTGGGTTTTCTTTTGACATAACTTTGAAATAGGCTTGGTTATGCCTAGAAAACAGTACCAAATCATACTAAGCTTTACATTTCACCACAATCAGTTGATAGCACATGTGTAGGTGTCACATGGGTAGGCTAACCAATTCTCTGATAAATCAAAAGCCAGAAGTCTTGCCACTTTGGACTCTGAACTCTGTAGGGAAGAAGGTTAGTTAGGTATGCATGAGTATGTTAGGATTAATCTAAAATCCAAGGTCGGATAAAGGAAATAACTGACCGCCAACACCAAAAAACCCACCACTACCAATACTTTCACAGACCTTATTTTCTGTGTTGATGATCTACTACTCTAGTTCTCCATTTTTTCATCTTAGGATACCTACCTTTCTTAATTTCAGTTTGGGAATATCCTTATTTCCCAATATACTGATATTCCTGATAATATCCAATTCCTGATCATATTTTTGCTTTGTTGTTTGATGTTAGTGTTCTTGATCCTGGACTATATACTATGATTATGATGTCTATGCTATAGTGAATTGACAGAAGAACCTTACTCTGAGTAGCTGTTATTTCAGCATGATCTTAAAAAAAAGAAACATTGCCGTGGAGTCAGAATGGTATATTGAAGCTAATTGATAGTTATTAAGTAAAAAATGCATTCAGTCCAGCTTGGTCAATGAAGAGAACTGGATCTCAAACTTGCAACTCCAAAATCCTTCTCAACAATGGAAAATTGTTGTTTGTTAGTACTCTACCTTGGCCCATATGCCTAAATACATACCTTACAATATGAGGGAAAAACATTTGAGTTTGCATGTTTTACTTAGCTATGTAATTGATGATGTTAGTAGCCAATGTTAGTCACAGATAACAAAAGGGAATTATAGGAAATTCTTCACTGAATAGCCTTAAAATGGTTAGAGATTCATCCATCTTTTGAATAGTTATGGAGAGTGAATTGATAACATTCTGAATTTACTTCTAGCCTTCTGGTTCTATTATTCTATTTGTTTTGTCACCAGAAACAGTCTGGTATATTTAAATCAGATTGCCAGTGCTGTCCATTTTGGTACAACTTATGCATTATAATTCATTTCTCATCACAAATAGAAAGTGTGTGGAAAAACAAAATGGAAAAAAAATTCAAGCTAATCTTCTGCTTACAACAAGGTAAACAACTATTATTATAAAGAGGAAAGTATTCGTACCCAAGAGATTTAGTGCAACATAATACAGCCAGAGTAAACTTTGGATTTTTATGAAAAATCACATGAAGCACTGCCTCTATCTTCCTTGGAGATAAGAAAAATAATGTTTTTTTGAAATACAGTCTTTCCAAGATAGTTATCTGAGAAAAGTGCCAAAGAAAACTTCCTCATTATTTTTAACCTAGTCATCTTGGTTTTGTATGGGCTTTTTGGTCTATTTCAAAGATAAAACTCCTTGGTAGTGAATTATAATTTTATGTGTGTATATGGCTGAAAAATTCAAGGGTAGGTGACTGTATCATATTTACCTCTATTTTTTCTATTAAAGGAAACAAAACACTCAATAATTATAATATATGCTTGTTGAATAAATGATCAACTAGCTGATAAAAAAACATTAAGTCATTAATGAACTTCTACCATATCTTCGTTTGTCCTAGATACCCTGGGTAATATCAAAACACTATTTGATATTGTTACCAACATTCCCTAATAACATTTTCATTAGGAAATTTTTCTCTTTAGTTTTTTTTTTTTTTGCTGGCATGTGTATTCAATACTGGAATGCATGCTTATTAATTGAGTGTGTTTAAATTTTTGGTTGCTAATATGGACTTTGAGAAATATGATCTGGTAATAAAGGCCACCAATGAGTGTTGGCACTGTGGCACCACCAATTGGATGACAATATACCAATGAAAGCTATATAGATAATCTATTGCGGGTGCCTTTCCATTAGGTTACATGAGGAACCTCTGGTTTTCCAAATATGAAAAAAAAAAAAAACCCATCAGGGCTCCATAACTATCACACAGGAAAGCTATAATTATGCTTGCAAGCCTTACTGCACAGAAAGGAAAAAAAGACAAAAGTTTACAAAACTAACACATCCAGGAAGCATCACCTGATAGAATGCTCAACCTACACAACAATGAGGCTCCAACCAAGGTCTGCTGAGCTTCAAGCATTTCAAAAGGGACCCACCTTGATGCCGAATGCATTAGAACTGGAATAACGCCTTACCTCTGAGATCCGGAGGCATAAAAAGTGGCTGGTATACCGTTAATTCAATAGTAACGAAAGAGATAAGAAGTATACCCTTGCTCAAATGAGAAACTTTTACTTACCTGTGTATACAGCACCAGTGGAATGTCTCTGCATTCGTAGTTTTATTCCTCATTTTCTAAGACTGCTCCTCAGTGATCATTAATATATTCTTTCAGTCTCCATTTGAGTCCACTCATTTCCTTGATTGTCCTGCTTCAGCTCACTCTAACATAGCCATTTCTCGTCCTGCAGTTATCAAACCCTACTAAATTTTGCAGCCACCAAAGCCTAGGACTTTTTGTTAGGATAAACATTATCATGATGTCAGGCTATGTTTCAGAAATGCATTCCTAGGGATCAAAGCCTGTTTTGTGATATCCCAAAGGTGTTTTTCCTCTTTAATTACTGGCATCACTACTTCTCCAAAAGGGCCTTCACCTAGCTCCCTTTAACTCTTCTTTTGAACCTCAGTTCCTATGTTTGGTTCCTGCTTCTGTGTATCCATGGCAGATACAACTTTTCTGTTTTTCACTGCTGTACCTATGTAAACCCTAACTCTGAACAGCTGACCACTTTCCTATTCTTTAGCAATCTCTGCCAATAACAACAGACTCCATTTTCTTCTCCCTACTCTTCTTCCTCCACAAAGGATGCAGGGTGGGCGGCTTTGAATCAATTGTGACAGAATTTCTTTTTCAGTCACCTGAAAGCAAGGGATTGGTCTTTACAACTCTAAAATCTGTCAATAAGTCTATGATTCCCTCAACCATCCCTTCAGTCTCTGTGAGAATTTAAGACTGTCATATTTCTCAGGAAAACTGCAAAAGGAATGACAAAATGGTTACTGGTGGATGTGAATGGCTGCTCTTTCAACTCTGATGCTTTGGAACTTCTAGCCTAAAAACCATAAAGGAAAAGAGAACAATAATTGCACACAAAATGAGGGAAATGAAAACCAGGCTGAATTGTAGCTTCTAGTTCCCTAGGACCTTTGTTATGCAACACACACTTGATGTAACTGGGTTTTGTGAGCCAAAAATTGAGAAACATGTCTTGTCAAGGAGTTAGAATATTTGAAATTGTAACTGTCTCTAAAAATCCCAGGGCTTCAAATGGGTTCTAAAGTGTTCAGTCATGGCCAACGGAAACAAAGGCAGTGTACCTATTGCATAGCAACCGAATCTCTTGCGCATAATCGGCTTTTGATCCGAGTAGGAGACAGGCAGTGGTGTACTGCTCAAAGATAGCAGCCAACCTCACCGCTTTGAATGTGTGTGGCTCTCCACAGTTCTGCCAATAATCCATTCTCCTGCATCCAAACCAAACCAGAAAACTAAACTCACTGCTGCCAAGTCGATTCTGACTCATAGCGACCCTATAGGACAGAGTAGACCTGTCCTATAGGGTTTCCAAGGCTATAAATCTTTACAGAAACAGACAGCCACAACTTTGTCCCATGGAAGGGCTGGTAGGTTCAAACTGCCAACCTTTTGGTTAGCAGCCCAGCACTTTAACCACTGTGCCTCTAGGGCTCCTTCTCCCACATCAGGCTCCTGAAAGTTTTCTGATGTGGGAGATTGGATTATTGGCAGGACTGTGGAGAGTGAAACACGTTCAAAGTTGCGTGGTCGGCCGCCATCTATGCGCAGGGCACTGCTGTCTGTTTCCTACTCAAGTCAAAAGCCAACATGCAAATGATTTGGTTGCTATGGAATGTGTACACTACTCTTGTTTCCTTTGGCCATGATTGAACTGTTTAGAACTGGTTCAAAGCCCTGGAAAATCCAAATCCATAAGGAATAGAGGGCGGGTATTATTTTCTCCAGAGTCCTTCGGTGGTGCAAATGGTTAAAATTCTCGGCCGCTAATTGAAAGGTTGGAGGTTCTAGTCCACCCAGAGGCAACTCAGAAGATAAACATGGGGATCTACTTCTGAAAAATAGGCCATTGAAAACCCTATAGAGCATAGTTCTACTCTGACACACATGGGATCACCATGAGTCGGAATCAACTCATTGGCAACTTGTTTGGTTATTATTTTCTCCATTTATCAGATGAGAAAATGAAAGACTAGATAGACTTACTGGAGAGAGCCTAAAACAGATAGGATGATAGAACCCACATGTCTTGTCTCCCAGTCCAGTGATCTTTCAACTGCATTTTCAACCTCTGCTGCCTTTGAACAAAGCCTTGAAAACCAGAGAGCTAATGAACTTCCACGTCACATCTCTCTTTCAAATATCTGATAAAATTTTTAAATCAAAATGCATAATTATATTATAGAAATAATTAACATTATGCAGGAAAAATCATTACTCTAAAAGTTTCAATCAGCAACAATTGTGCCTCAGATAAACTTCATGAGCTGTGATATTGCCAATGCACAAAGATACATTAAAAGTTGATGTAAAAGAAAAAAGATGTTATAAAAACCACTTGAATCAGAAAAAAAAATTGTGTATGGACGTTTCAATACAGAAATTTATTACTTCCACCATTTTTGTACAACCTTTTATGACCTGAATTAGCAGTGTAGATTTTAACTTTCTAAAAAATCTGACATTCTTAGTTCCACATGATGAAATTTTTGCACTATAATAAGTATCTCTATTTAACCTTATTCTGATATTTGAAGAAACACACATCCTGACTGTGTGCACACAGCATAAGATTGTAGTGCTGTCCTTGAGAATTATCTTGGTGCCTAGACAGAAGGATGGACTGTCACATTTTAAGGAGGGGGAAAGAGGAAAGGGAGTTATGAACAAAAGCAGTGTTGATCACTCTGAATTTTTTAACAATACTCGACTTCTGAGAGGTGACAGGGACTCAAATGGTCAGCAAACCCTGTTGATGGCTGCTTATTAATACCTTGACCTTTGAGTGGTTCATTTGTGATGGTCTACACTACACTCACTCTCAGCCTCCCTTGAGACAGTTACAGGTATCTCCAAGGTAGTTGTGGCTGGAGTCTGGAATGTCACCTGTGGCAACAGCACAAGGAAAAGCTGACTTAACTGGAGCACATCTATGAGCTTGGCCCCATAGGCATCTTGTACTTACACATAATAGTTCCATGGTAATCAATATTACCAGGTAATTACCATATCAGTGAAGAAGATGGCAAAAATGACATCAGTTCTTTATACTTCTGACTCACACTTGAGATTGCAAATAGTAGATGAGGAAATGGGGTGGGGGAAGTTGTAACAGTGAGCATTGATTAGTCTTTCAAGAAACTTACTGTTGAAAGGAAAGGAGAATAGGAGCGCAATATGCCAAAGGAGATGTAGAGTTAAGGGAAGATTAGAAGAGTTAGGATAGGAAAGACTTAAATATGCTTAGAAACTGATAGTGGAAGGAGATATCACAGAAAGAGAAGTTAAAGGTACAAAAGAGAGACACAAATGGATAATATCCAAAACTTTACACTTATTTTATCCTCCTAAACCTGTTCCTCTCTTCCCACACCACTCTAATGTCAATAACATTCCCATTTCATAAAATGCCACCCCTCCACTTGCTCAAGTCAAAAATCTACGAGGCATACAATCCATTAGCAAGTCCTGTCCACTCCATCTTCAAAGTAAAATCCAAATCCAATCACCCTATAGCTATGCTCCTCATCCAGGCTACACACTTCTCACACTTACACTTCAATAACCTCCTAATTGGTCATCCTGTTTTTACTTTTGCGCTCTCCCATAACTCATTTTCTATATAGGGGCTAAAATTCTCTTTTAAAAACATTGTAACTCCAACATCTTCCTAAAGCACTAGAATAAAACTCATGGTGTGCTGGGCCCTATCAGATACGGTCTCTACTTTTCTTCATTGTGTACCACTTTTGCAAGAGTTCACTAGGCTTGAATGCACTGGTTTTCTTTCTGTTCTTCTAGTGTCAAGCTCATTCCCACTGCTGGCATGGGTATTTGGGATTCCCCCAGCTCTTCAGATATGTGACTCCTTTGGTCTCAGCTCAAACGTCTCCTCTCATACAGGTGTTTCTGGACCACAATATCTAAAATAGCCCATCAATTTCAAATCAATTTCCTGTATGTCTCCTTATTTTATTTCCTTCATAATACCTACCATAATTTGAAATCATATTGTATATGTATTTTTTTGTTATTTTCAGTCTTTCTACCTCCACTAGAAGATAAGTTCCACAAGAGATAGACACTTGTTTATTTTATTTTCCACTGTATTCTCAGCAACTAGAAGAGTGCCTGGCAAATACCTATTGAATGAATCAAGGAATGGATGACTAAGTGAATAAACAAAGTTACTTGAGAAAACTAAGAATATATCATCAAGAGAATGGGAAAAAAAAGTATCTTCTCCTCTGAGACAGAAGAAATGGAATTTAGGATGGGCATAGATAAGTTTGGAGATAGGAGGTTGACACAAGTATTACTTGAAGAGAAATCAAGGTCATCTGCTGCGGGTGAGTGGAACCCTTGGTCAATTGCTTTGTGTTAACATATAATGTGTTTATATATAATGTCATTACATTTTCCTAATCTATATCCCCATCACAGCTAATGTTGCCAGCAATTCTAGCTCTATATTCTCTTATACCACTTTTTCTTCACCTATTATTCACTCTCTCTCTCTGATGTCTGTCTGACACTTTACAGTCTGAAGATCATTCACCTTAATGAAGAAGGTGAAAACAAGAGAACTGTCAAGAGAGAGTTCCCTTCTCTGTCATCTGCTAACATCATGCCATCTGTCCTAGGCAGAGGACCTAGCCCTTTTCATCTTGCAACTGTGAACATAGATGGAAAAGCTGCTTTTCTTGTCTTTGGTACTTTATTTTAGCTTTTACTCCCATGAAAAAGCCATGTACTCATTGAACACATCCTTGATTATGTGCTACCATTATTAACTTCACCCTATCTGTTCCTTTCATGTTCTCCTAAATCTGAGCTCAGCTATTCTGGGTTGTGCTTCCTTCTCTTTTCTTCCATAGAAGTTACGATTTTCAGAATATGCTATCCCTTTTGAGTGGTCTTCTATTTTCATATTTTTGGCCAGGATATAACACTTCTCTTTTCTCTAAAATTTCTGAATAACTGCTTTGAAAGAGTGTAGGGCAGTATCTAAACATAGCCTACATCTCTTTTGCTTTCTATTTTGGTCTCCTTGTACCCAGCTTCTATCTATCACATACACAAGAGTTTGGCCAAGGGTCATTGCCATGGTTACAGTGGTATGCAAGAACTAACTAAAACAGACCTGCTGTGTTAGCTCTCATGTGTGTGCCTGCACGTGTGTGTAATTTCTAAGCATTGAACTCTAGGAACTTCACATACGTCGTATTATTTGATCCTCAGAACAATCCTGTGAAGTGGGTCTGATTGTTCCCATTTTACAGATGAGGAAACTTCATCACAGACAGATTAAAGAATAAGTAACGAAGTCACACAGATATTATGTTTTAAAGCTGAGATCTGTGTACAAATATGTTGACACTAGGCTCATGCTCTTCTCTCTGCACCTTATTTCAGGGTCACCTGGGCTTGGAGCAGGCACATGAGGGTAAGTCAATACATGCAGAAGCCTCTTTGGATCCAAAGTCCTTGTAGAACCTCTTGAGGGCCCTTGAAGCTCAAATGTATTTGCTACTCTGAGTTACTTATAAATGAATAAATTTGCTTTTCCAGAAAAAACAAACAGTGTGTCCTTTATCTGCCATCTAATTTGGCTTCTCCAGGAAAAACTAAAAAATGACACCTTTTTTAGAGGTGGAGAGTTTCTACTACAGTTCAGTAGTCTATATGCAGCTTTCCAAAATTGCCCTTAGGCTGCTAAACAAGAATAGCTGCTGAAGGAAGGAGGGAGAAATAAGGAACGGTTTGTTTGCTAACCGGGTTTTCTGCTAAACATATTCTTGCCTGGTTACAACATACTATCCCCAGCCCTTTGGTTTAAGGCAAGCTATAGCCTGGGTCAAATCTCACCACAGCCTGTTTTTGTAAATAAAGTTTTATTGAAAAACAATTACACTTATTTGTTTACATATTGTCTATGGCTGCTTTCATGTTGCAATTGCAGAGGTAAGTAGTTACAGCAAAGACTGCATGTCTTGAAAATTCTAAAATATTTACTATCTGGCCCTTTACAGAAGAAGTTTGCCACCCCTGCTTTCAGGGAATAAAATCTCTCTGCCTACGGAACTCTGTGGGACTGCCTCCAGAGGACCTAAGCCTGTGAAAAAGAGGATTCTCCTCAGCTACAAAACAAGATGCATGCTTTCTATTTGCTTAGTAATCTCTCTTGGTTGTTTTGTCTAGAAAGCCTTTGCTAAAGAGTCATTAGTGATTTTTTCAGTCATAGATTAATACACTATTTTATCTATTTTACCTCTGACAAATTTGATCAGAGCTTTTAAAGTAAAACTTTGTTTTTCTTGTATTTTTATTATTTTAAATGGGGAACGAGAATAGTTCTGCACAGGTGTCTTTAGCTGTCTTCCTCCCCTCAAAAGAAAAAAGAAACCATGTTTCCATTGCAGTCCAATTAAATGTGAAGAAATTTTTCTAATATTCAGAAAGAAAAGTTCTTATAACAAATAATTTTTCATACTTGTTAAGATTATGCGTGCCCATCCATATGTTTGACATACTCATTCAGATTGTACCATTGGGCAATTCCTCAGGGAAGTTCCATTCTTCCTGACCTTTATGTTACTGTTCTCATCCTATGATGACACCAGTGCAACTCTATCTTCACAGAATTGGTGCAGGATTGTCAGGACCAGAACCAACTAAGTCAGCTTCAAGAATTCAAAACTGGCCTATGTCTTGTTAATTCTGTGGCAGCCCATGTCCACTATCATCTTCATAAGATTAAAAAAAAAAAAGAGTTGCCATCAAGCCAATTCTGTCTCATGGCATCCCCATGTGTGTCAGAGTAGAACTGTGCTCCATAGAGTTTTCAATGGTTGTGACCCTTTCAGAAGCAGATCACCATGCCTTTCTTTGGAGGCACCTCTGGGTAGATTCGAACCTCCAACCTTTCGGTTAGCAGCCAAGCATGTTAAATATTTGCACCACCCCAGGGCTGCCTTCATAAAACGGAATATTTCTTTTCATTCCCCTGGTAAATATCTTTGCATAGATGCTACCTGTGCTGGTCTGTCTTGGTATTTTAGGGAGCCACAAACAATTGCTTATGTTCAATGGAGTCCTGCATAACCATCCCAGATGGTTCCCTTTCCTTAACAACCATTTTAGTAAGGTTGAAAACCTCTACACCTAAAATCACTGCTTCTGGCACTTCATGAATGTGCAGGTTAAAGTTTTAGCTCCATATATCAATAAGGTCAGGAAAGTTACTTATTTTTAGGACCATTCAGACCCTGTAGGAAAAAATATGTACACTCA